CATACTGACTTTTAAACTAATTGAATTCTTATTCTAATTTAAATTAATTATATAAATATTTATCAACTCTTCCTATTACTTCCTGTCAGTGAAAGAGCTATGAGCAAAGTGATAACCAAAACTCGAATGCGGAATTAAATTTCGGACTTTATTTAGAAAATTTACTATTTATATACAGTAAAATTGGTCTTTTGAAAAATTTACGATTGATGATATTATAACATTGCCTTGACCTATAAAAGGTTATCCAAATTAATAAAATAAGCAACGTATCTTTTTTGCAGCTTATATATAAACTTTTTTTAAATGTAAATTTATATTCGTTATAATTTACATAATTAGTTTCTTATAATTCCAGCAGGGATGAGAACTAGAAACCAAACCCTGAAACCTCCTCGATATTTAGCTGAACCCAAATCCAAATTTGAACCCTTTTTTTAAATTTAGGGTTCAGGGTTAAAGACTTTTTCAAAAAAATTTTTTTAAATTATATAAAATTTATTTTTTTTTTATTTTAAACTTTCAATTTATTTATTTTCAATTATATGTAAAAAATAATATAATATAAAAAAACTGTAATTTACGGTTTTCATTTATAAAAGATTTCCTATTTAAAAAGAGTTTTTATTTAAAACAATCATTGCTAATTGACCTTTATTACTTAAATTATCATATAACACTAATTAAATAAATATAATCATTTATTAATTGAAAATTAACATATTTAGTATTGTAATTAGTCTAGTTCAAAATCACTAATCAACTATATTATTGATTTTTAAATTTATTTATCATGTCTCTTCCTAAAATTATTTTCAAGGTCCAAATCCAAATAAGTATTTATTATAATAATCCTCAAAAAATATCAATCAAATTTAGCCAATAGTATTCTTTTAAAAAATATTTGTCCAATAAAATTCATTATAGCTTATTCGGGCCAATGTTAATATTATACCAAATTAAAACATTCATACACTTACCATTTCATTCACTTCACATATCAAAGCAATGGTATCCAACCAGAGTTGTACATTTGCTCAAAATAAAAAGATCTTTGAAGATCTTAAAATTTGAAGATCTTTTATTTTTTAAAAATTTTGTGTAACGCTCTTCAAAGATCTTCATGATATTTATTTCTTTACCCCTTTATTAAAAGCCCAGATGTTTTTCAATTTTATTAATATAATATTTCTTTTATGTTTTATACCTCTCCTCCTGCCTTGATGAAAATTGAAAAACATCTGGGCTTTTGATAAAGGGGTAAAAAAATAAATATCATGAAGATCGTTACACAAAATTTTTAAAAAATAAAAAATCTTCAAATTTTACGATCTTCAAATTTTACGATCTTCAAATTTTACGATCTTCAAATTTTACTATCTTCAAATTTTACGATCTTCAAAGATCTAGATCTTTTAAGATCGTTGCTCAAATTTTTTTATAAATAAAAGATCTTCAAATTTTACGATCTTCAAAGATCTTGCTCAAATTTTTCAGCTAGATCTCGCTCAAAAATCTTCAAAGAAGATCTTTTGTTATAATTTTTTCCGATTTTTTATAATTATAATATCTTTTATAAATTAGATGCTTCAACAAAACCCAACTACCAATTTAAGAAAAAACAAACCAAGTTAAAAAGCAGAATACGCAAAATGCATTGTTACCATTATTCCAGAGGTATGTGATGCTATATGGAAAACTTTAAAAGATATTCATATGCCAGTTCCAACTAGATAACATTAGGAGAAGTTATTATAAATTTAGATATTAATATATTTTTAGATTGCACAAAAATATTTTGGGAAACATGGATTTCCAAACTGCCTTGGCTCATTAGATGGTAAGCACATATGTAGAAAACAAAGTGATGGTGTTACTTTCAGAAATAGTATTTTATATCAAAGTAAATTTTTAATATTAATAAATTATTTTTAATTATTTTAGAATTAGAAAATCCTATATCATATAATATCATTGTCTGATCTAGCCTCCTTAAAAAACTTATGAAACCTTATCCTATGAAAAATACCAGTCCAGAAGCAAAATATTATAAGTTAAGTAGTGATTGAATACACATTTGGTATAACTACTGATAAGTTTGCCATTAATTCTAAAGATATAAAGTGCTCAGTTGAAAATGCATATAAAATATATTATTTATTATGATAAAATTGAATAAACACTTAATATTATACCTATTCTTGAAAATTTAGAGATCAGTAGAACTTTAAATGTATCAAGTACCAATTCAGGAGGAATCAGATATTTATTTAAAGACTATTTTAATTCTTGAATTTATGTATCTATTTAACATTTTATATCATTATATATTAAACTAGCTGATAGCCCATCAAGATTGATGGGGAATCATAATTTTCTCCTTTATTCAATGATGTATAAATTTGAAATTTTCCTATTTTATGAGATCTTATTCAGAAATTTATATTTATTAGGATCAGGGGTTATTTTAAAATTTTTCATTATTTTTAATAAATTATGTTTATGAAATTTTTTGGATTATAAATTGCAAATAAATGAATAAAAATCTAGTTATTTATAAATGGTAAGTAGACATATAGTTTATAATCCTCTATAATATATAATTATTTATAAAATATTAGGTAAAGCCACTTTTACAGACGTATTACAGTTAATATTTTTAAAATTTACTAATAAATGCTTTTGATAATAAATATAAGTAATAATTTGCTTTAAATTATTTAACGCCATCTATTTATTAAAAATATTATTAAATTTAAACATCATATTATTCATCCCACAATGGATGTAATAATTTAAATATATTTTCTTCTCTTTTTTTACGTGTTTTTTAGTAAGCTATTTTTTTCTTCTTTGAAAAACAGTTTTGAGTTAAATTTTTAATAAGAATATATTTTTGATATTTTACAAACTACTATTATATTAAGATATAATTTACCAACTAGAGGTGGTGCGATAATATATAAAATCTTAATTGTTTCATCATATCATTCTGGTCCTTATTTTATAGTTAGAAAATATTTTATTTCTAATATGGCATCCTTTCCGTGTAAATAACTCAAGGCTTCAATATATTTGCATAATTATTTCTTCCAAAGATTTTTAGTATTTTTATTTTATCAATTTATCCAACATAATAAATTCTAATATTAGTTTACATCGTGAGTGTCATGGCTATGACTGCAAATTAACTAGCATTTATTTGTCTTGCTATGTAATTTAAGATTATTATTACAGCGGCCGAGAGCATATGATTGCATATTTTAGATAAACAATAATAGTCAATTGTGTAGTCGTTTATATATCATTAAAAATGGAAGATAATCTTTTAAAAATTTATTATCTCACAATAATTTTCTCGATTACTTATCTAGCTTCCATCATTCATCTAAGAGGAAGCTCTAACTACCATGGTTTTATGATTTGGATTGGTCGTTTATAATCTCTTCTTCAAGAATTGTTAATTTGGTTTACGCCTATAAATTTTATTAGTCCATTCAATAAAACATTGTCAAAAATGGTAACAGAGAGTTATATTAGTTTTATGACCGTTTGTCAATGTAACTTGCTAAGAATTATATAGCCATATGTGGTTTTTCCATTATCAATTGAGACATATGTATGAATTATTTTACCTTTTTATCACTTGTAATTCTTTAGACGCATTTTTTTATATCAGCAACGAAAATATTATATAATTTAATAAATAGATTTTGTATTAAAATATAATATTTTTAGAAATGTCTAGTATTGTTTTAATTATTTATATGATAGATTATTTTGTTTCCAAAGTTTAATAAATGGCAAAATATGGAATTCAGAATAATGTTCAGTGTTAACAAATTTAAAAAAAGATAATATATTAATATAAAACCCTGCCGAAGGCCGTACAAAAGCGGGAATGCCCGCAAAATGGGAAGTATGGGGGCGAAGCTCCAATAATTTTTTTTTAGTTGAGCCCCCTGAGATTGTAAAGGCTAGCGACGCCCTGGATAGGGCTTGGAAACAATTTAAAATGCTATTAAATTATATTTATTTTATTGTTTTAAAATATGAATGTTGAGGAACTATTAGCATTACTAAATTTATTCGTAGAGTCTGTTGAATTTCTTTCCCCCAAAATGGATCAACATTTAATTTAGGTTAATTATTTCATCTGAAAATAGAAATTAATAATGCAAATCAATAAATCTTAAAGTCAGATTTGTTTAAAAGAAAATTTTCTAAAAAGCTTGACTGCATGTTTTCAATTTCAAACTGCAAGTAATTTAATTTATAATATTTTTTTTTTAAACATTAGGCTTTTTGATCTCAAATTTTAATATCTTATGACTGATTCAGAATATCTTAATTTTTATACTAGGGAATCCTTGTAATTTTTAATTCTATATTTAAAACTTATAGAACATGATACAAATGTAGAGAGTGATCAAGTTGAAGATGAGCAAACATTCAATTTATATTGTATAGGTATAAAAGCTCATAAACGTTCCATTTCAAGCCAAGATTATAATAAAACACTAGCAATCTAGAGCAAGAATATATTGTTTATTATACTATAAGGATTTACTGACATTTTATGGGAAAAGCGACTGAAACTCCCTAGATTCGATCTTAGCTAGAAAAATACTTTGTATACCTGTAATTAGTACACCTATCAAAAGAATCCATCGCTGGATTCATATTCAATACCAAAAGAATCTCTATATTCCCTATCAATTTCTACGAAATAATATTTATCTACGACAATTATAGTTTAACTAATAATTTCTAATTTATTTATATTTCTTACTATATATTTTATTTGCGTTCCAAAGTTTTAACAAAATCGATAGAATATTACTGATGATGTATGACTCTGACCTGAGTAAAAGACGATTTCTTAATCTATTTCAGAGTATAATAAATACATAAATTTATATAGAGACTGGACAGGAAATGAATAATTAAACTATATTATCAATGTTAGAACTAAAAATGTCAAAATAAGTTTAAAAATTTATATATCGAATTATAAGTTAAATTCATTTTTAAAATATGTAGCACCTCACAAGCCAATTCATGAGGCTTTGGCTAATTTGGCGCGCCGATGAATGATAAAAGATTTAAAAACTGCCTCCACGTATTATCTGCAAACGGATGAAAGTAAACATTTATCTGGTGTAAAATATGTTTTAATTAAGTTAAGATTAATATTGTCGTTGATAAGAGGTTTCATATATTTTGTGAAAATAATAAGCATCTCTTTTTCTCCAATTAAAGATTCATATTTTTTTAAATCCCGTTAAACAGATCTTTTTTTGATGTTTTTAGATATAAATAATTATGATGTTTAATTAATTATAAATCTATAATATTCACATGTTTTATATTTGTACAAAAAAAAACGAATCGAATAATTGCAATATTCATATTCGTGCCAATTGCATAATTTATTAATCATTTTTTCTATATAAAAAATAAATTAATGTGGATGTTTTAAAATAACACTTTTAAGGATTCTCTAAACTAATTGTCATTAGCATATAACAAAATTTACAGAAAATAAAAGAAATAAAACACAATGATTTCATATAACATTATTCAAACTAATTGGCCAAAAACACCCTATTTTTAGAATTAGAATTGCTTATTAAAATATCTAAATTGTTTCTTCAATCTAATATTTAAATTTTATTAAAATTTTTTAAAAATGTACAACTATCTCATTTTATAAACATCAAAATATAATACAGAAAAAATATAATATGCTAGATCCGAATTTGACAATAACCAGTTTTTCAAGCCTAAAGTCTTTCTAATGGTTTCTTCCTTCAAAGTCATTCTATTCATCATTATCATATTTGTACCTGAGAATAACCGCTCACATGAAGCAGAAGATCCCTGAATGGACAATATATTAGTTGCCATTTTCGTCAACACGGGAAAACGATTCCTATGCAATCTCCACCATTCTAGCGGGCTCTTATTAGACGTGATTCTTAATTCATCAACCTCACATATTGATGAGGTGAAATTTTGTTTAAAACTTTTATGCATATTTGTTTTTACTATTGGATTAACTGTTGTTGTATCGATTTCGATATTATATTGTACTTTCATTATATATACCCATAAATTTTTGTAATAGATTTGTTGTATCTATGTTATATGACACAGGTAATTGTTCAAAAAATTCATTTCTAATCTAGGATCTAATATGGTTGATATTATGGTTTCAATATTTGTTAGGAGGGGTGTACCGATACCCCTTTTTGGAGGCCGATCCGATCCGATATTCTCGATATTAAATTGATATCGGCCGATTACCGATCCGATATCATATCTAATTTTGTATTCTGTAGAGATACCAATGGTTTTAATTTTTAAAATACTTTTTATTAGTATAACATCTATAATTTAATTCTACCATAACTTATGTCATTTGAATATTATAATGATCAGTTATATTTTATATTCAATTTAATTGCAATTCTACAAGTATATAAAATATTTTTATTGTTAAATCACTTTTATATAAATCTATAAAGTAATAAACAAATATATTATGAAATTTGAAATAAATAATTAAAATATTATTTAACATTAATATATTGAAGATTTCAATTTCAAATTTATCAGAGGTCAGTCTGCGGCGATGGTAACTGTCAATATCACCAGCTTCACTAAAAAGAGATTCTGAAGAGATTATCGCACACATTTATAAGCAGAATACGCAAAAAAAATAATACGGCAGAATGTTAATTAATTAATTATTATTATTAAAAAAATATACATAAAATAAATTTCTAATTTATAAAAATAAATGATTTTAAATATAACCTTTTAAAAAAATTTTGTTAAAGACGCCATTTTTTATCGGATTGGATCGGATCGGAAAATTTTATAATATTGTCCGATAACCGATATTTTAAAATGGATTAGATATCGGCTCGATCCGATATAAAATATCGGTACATCCCTATTTGTTAGGTTATAATAATTTTATATTATGTCAATAGCATTAAGAAATGCGGTCCAATGAATTTAGTTCCATTAAAGAAATATAAAAAGGGATAACTAGATTTAAAGTAGGATGTATGTCAAAACACATATGTTCGGTAAAATCAAAAAAGGTCTTTAATTTGTTTTGTATATTTATTAAAGTCGTTTATTATCCGGGTAAAAATTATATAAGTAATTAAAATTTAATTACTTTACTCAGTTGTCTTTCTTCGATATTAGATATATCTGAGTCACAACGTCAATGGCCCTTCTCATTTTAATAGTCCTTTCGACCATTATATAAGAGCTATTCCATCTTATGGATGTAAATATCATTCATATATAGTTTAATTGAGGGTATTGAACAAATTTTTACGTTTAGATTTAAAGCTCCAGCAAAGATTTAAATTCATTTGTGGCAAGAATTTTAAATGGTGTATTTTTAAGAAATTTTTTTAATAAATAATGTTTAATACAACAATATTTGTTTTGGTTAAATCATTTAAATAGTTTTCTATTGTATTATTATCTTGAATCTTGTGATGAAATCTTTTATTTTGATTAATTAGTGCAGAGGTGGTTTGTTTCTTACACATTATTTCTACCTTATACAAATTTTACATATGTCAGTTTCTGTTTTAGAATCAAGAAGATTCCATAGAATCCCGGAAAAAAACCCCTGGAAAAAAACCTCAAAATCTTTTTTCGAATTTACTTAAGATCTAATAATATCGGTATATTTTTATTTGGATTTATATAAGGTATAGACAAATTAGTATTTTAGAAAAAATATTATAAAAATATAATTTAATAATAAATTATATAAATATATCAATAAAATAAACAGATCTTATTGCAAATTTTGTCAAATTTAGTCTACTTAATATAGTAATTAAGGATGGATATTGTATTTATTACTATAGCTGTTACATCTGAATATTTATTATTGTAAGATATATTTTAAAAGGTCACGTTATATATTTTAAAAGGACGTTATTTGTATATTATATTATAACTTTCCGACATGTAATATTATATTATCGAGGTTAATCAAATTGCATATTATTAGAAGTTAAATTGGATAATTATATAAATGTATATATACAAAAGAATTACAAATAAAATTCTTTATCGTATTTTAAACTTTAATCGATTTAATATTTGGCGACGAGGTAAAAGGTCGCGCGGTTTTCGGTCTTCGGTCAAGTTAAATGTTATATAGAATTATAATTTTTTTTGTTTAAAAAATAAATAAATTGATTTAGCAATTATGGATAAAAGATGAATGAGATAAATGGGCTATTGACGACTAGACACATAAAATATCCTCAAAATTTTATATTGATAGAGGAGCAATTGATTTCATTAGTTTAAGTCGCAGCCCTACTGAATCCATAATAAGCTATATAAAAAAAATATATATATAAAGGAGCTAGCTCGAAGATGAGAATTTAAAGATAACAGAACTAAGAATTCGAGATCAATTAATCGCTGGAGAAGTATGTTTACGATACCCAGATATTAAAGACGAAGACCAACCGTTAAACTTAAACAAAGTTATAGAATTTATGATAAGGGCACGATGCAGCCTATTTAGATTTCCATGGATTATAGAATTTATGATAATGATAAAGGGCACTATCAAAATGATTGATGCAGCCTATTTAGATTTCCATGGATTATAGTTATGATATCAAAATGATTGATGCTGCCTATTTAGATTTCCATGGATTATAGAATTTATGATTGATAAAGGGCACTATCAAAATGATTGATACAGCCTATTTATACAGCCTATTTGGATTTCCGTGGATTATAAAATTTGACACAGCCTATTTGGATTTCCAGGGATTATAGAATTTGACTTATCGTTACCAATATATGTAGAAATTAACATGACCAACAATATAATGATAATGGTAACGTGAATATTGACAAACTATATAGAGTAACCTGGAGTACTCCAATGGTAGTGGTACGTAAAACTTTAGGTGAACTACGATTGATAATTATTCTACCAACTAATAGCAAAAATCGCTATAGATCTACAGATAAATGATGATAAAATAACAAGCGAAAATAAAACAGTGATGGTGGGAACAATTGGTCGAAAAACTAGAATCGCCATCACAATCCTGGAAAGAGAAGAAGTAAAAGAAGAAAAAAAATAAACGTACAAAACCGTATTAAAACATCCCGACCAACTACGAATAACGAAATCAAATCAATAATAACAATTGAACCAAGTCAAAAAGGAAGGCAAATGGGTTATCCAACAAGGGAACTAAAGCCAACAAAAAAAAATTAATAGATGAACTTAAACTTGGTAAATAAAAAGATTGGTAGACGATCTTAACTTGGTGGGAAAGAAGATATGTTACATCTGAATATTTATTATTGTAAAGGTTAAGATATATTTTAAAAGGTCACGTTATATATTTTAAAAGGACATTATTTGTATATTATATTATAACTTTCCGACATGTAATATATTATCGAGGTTAATCAAATTGCATATTATTAGAAATTAAATTGGATAATTATATAAATGTATATATACAAAAGAATTACAAATATAATTCATTATCGTTTTTTAAACTTTAATCGATTTAATAATAGCAAATATTTTTACGAAAATAAGTAATACATGGGTTATTTTACTGGGATATTTTTTTTCTCAGTACCAATTTCAATATCAGCATTTTTTCTTGTTTAAGCAATGCGATTTTGTTTTCAGTGTCCAACTACCTACACGCCATCGTTCAAGTTTGGTTTCATCAGCAGCCACCTCGCATTACATTTTTTTTAATCAATACCCAGATTGGTGGGTGCTTATTCCCAACCAGATTAGAAAAACAATGATTCGAATCTTCGCATTGATTATTTATGAGTTATTAGTTAAATAGAGTGCTCTGATTCAAGTTTCTGGAGAATATTTCGACCTGTCTGGGATTGAGAATTGCTTCTTGTGACCTCTTGATACTCCATTGATGTAATTTTTATCGAAATATTCAAGAATATCCTTACTATTGCTCGGAGTACCCGATCTAAGGAATGCCATTGCATTGCCCATATCACATAAAGGAACAAATGCTAAGCTGTCCATCATGCCACAAAAGAAGCTTAGGGCTTCATCGATTCTGTATTGGCTTTCCAGAACTAGCTTTTAAATTTTTTTATGGGTACTTTGACACAAATGGTAAAGGCATCCTCTGATTATAATGTGATCTCATAATTGAAAAAACGAATATAAATAATTTAACATATTAATAATCATAACAATGACAGTTTTAACCGCGCTCATAGCAGACTTTTCGAGTATATATAATGGATCAGGAAATAAATCTCGTTCTTGACATTTAGACATTATTACTTCGAATATTTTTTCGTAAATATTTTGTGTTTTTTTTTGAGTCTAATAGCTGTTAATGATTGTGGCATTCGCTTATAAAATTATTTATCAATATTAATTATTGCTAGGTTATACTAAAAAAATTAAGTGAAAATTGAGAAGAAAAAAATTGAGAAAAGGTTAGAAAAATAAAGATTAACAACGACTTCAAAAATTAGAAGAAGATAATTGTAATGTATTTTAATAGTAAACGAGTTTTTCTTATTCTTTTATTTTGTAATGTAAAAAATCAAAATCAGCCATAATAAAAATAAACATTTTACAAAAAATAACAAAAAACAACAATTTAATACACATCATTTATCCCCAGTCGATCTGGTTTCGATCGTATCCTTTTGGGATATCGATCTTGACTTGTTTCTTCCTCCCTCTCCTTTGAATTCATTTCATTGGGATTTTTTATTACATCCTCTTTGTTTACTATCTCTTCGGTTTTCTCTTCTACTTCAGTACTCTCTTCTAATTCGTATTCTTCAATTAATACATTTTCGGTTCTTTTCCTTAATTGGTGCGTATGACGTATAATCGTATTACCCGCTACACTTACTTCATAATTGTGATCCGAGTATGCCTTTAATAATGGCTTCTTTTTTTTTCTTTATTATTGTAAAAGCGCGACCAAACTTTTTCATTTATCTGAAATTTTTGATTGTGGTATTCAAACTTCTCCCTTTTGTTTCCCCGTTCGAAAATTTGATCTAACAATTCTCTAAGTTTAAATTTTAGTAGTATTTCAGCGGGACTTTGTTCAGTTTCTGTTCCTGGTGTATTTCTGTAATTGTAGAGAAAAATAGCTAGGCTGGTTTCTAAATCCCTCTCGTTTCTTTTATTCATACTCTGTTTAAAAGTTCGAACTAAACGTTCGGCCATGCCATTTGTCTGAGGATGGTAAGGACTTCCGTGCACTAATTGAATATCATTTTTTTCACAAAAATCATTGAAATCTTTGCTGCTGAATTGAGGTCCGTTATCAGAAACGATTATTTTGGTAAATCCGAATCTTGCAAAAATATTTCTTAATATTTTTATCGTGCTTTCGGTTGTAGTGTTAGTCATGGAAACTATTTCTGACCAGCGACTGCTGGCATCTATCACTACCAACCAACAATGATTTTGAAATGGTCCAGCATAATCAATATGTACATCGTGCCATGCTTTTGGTGGTTTTGGCCAATTTTGAATTGCTGTCTTTTGAGGCATATCGTGTTGTTCCTGGAATTCTCTACATTTTTCGACCCAGGTTTCTATATCTTGGTTTATATTAGGTCACCACACGTATTGTCGTGCTCTCATCTTCATTTTTACCATTCCGATATCCTTGAGGTATTATGTCCAAC